ATTGTATTTATACCCCGCCTATCTAGTCATTTCGACCACTCTAGGCGGCTTACAACATAAACATAACAAGTTCAAGAAAAATTTATAACAATTAATTAATTAAATGATTGTGCAATTGTGCATATTACTTACTGTAATATGTTTTCCATCATTTACTTTCCCCCCTCTTACGTTTCTAATTTTTAGTTTTTCTGAGTCACATCTAGTAATACTGTACTTCTGTCAGTTTAGAACAAGTAGCATATTACTTTGTGTAACCTTATTGTTGCCTTCAAGAACAATAACATTTTAGGAACCAGGTTAAACCAGGCAAATCTAAGTGTCGTGATATGACATAATATTAGGTGTTATAACCAGTTTTACCACTCTTGCCTTTTGATGGAGAAATTGTTTTTGATGTCCCACTTTATCTTTCTATATTGTGCTGGAACTTTTTATGATGAGTAAAAGAAAGTATAGAAAATTCTTAAATTAGAAAAACCCAATTTAAAAATGGTTTTGGACGTGTCATAGATGTGGGGAACGACAGGAAGCAGCAGTGCCTGTGCTGTTGATTGATTGATTGATTGATCGATTGATTGATTGATTGGATTTCTATCCAGCCCATCTAGACCAAAGGTCTACTCTGGGCAGTTACCATTATTGTATCTGAAATAAAATTCACATATTAAGCAAATTTGCCACCCACAAAGTAATATTTAAACAAATCCTTAGATGAAGGTAGAAATAAATTAGTGAGAGATCTGACTTGGGGAGGTAAAGGGGGAAGAAGGAGGTAAATTGTCAGAGAACAAGAGCACAGGATGAATGAACTTGCGTAAGAGAATTGAGGCTTTAGATTTTCTATCTAGTGCATAAGCCAAGATAAAGAGTACTCTTTGTATTATAGTACTAGACATAAAATCATACTTGATTTCTCTCTTAATATGTTCTGGAATATTTTCCATTTCGGTCTGTAGCTGGATGCCATTAGAAACTACCTTAATTGTATAAATATTTTCCAAATGGATAACTTTATCTGCCATTCATCTGCACATTATGCCTAGCTAGATGAAGTGGCTGAAGCATACATCCTATTTTTATGACTTGTCTGTTTTATGTGCAACTATTGTAATAAGCCATATACCTATAAATTATTTCTGTGTTATTGCTATTCATATCACTTTTCCTTTCTTTGAACAGTTGATATTTTGAAAAAGATTGACATTCCTTCTGTCTTTATTGGAGAATCATCTGCTAAGTCTCTAAAAGAAGAATTTACTTATGAGAAAGGGTAGGCAAATGTTTACTTTTATTTCAATTATTTGGGACTTGTTATTATTTATCTGGTTGTGATCAACCATTATACTTTCTGGGAGTCAGTTACTGAATTTCTACCATGATGTTGATTAGTTACAGAACTAATATCACATGTCTGCTGATGGTGATTTTATAGAGACAAGGTCCAGAAGAATGTACAAATTTCAACATTATCTATTGATCTACTTTTATATGAGACTTGGAGGGTGGATCTTTTGAGTGTACCATAATGAGCACATGGTTAATCATTTATATCATTATTATATTGACTTAAGTTGGTCAGTTACATAATTGTTTTAATATTATGAGAGTGTCTAAATGGTTATTTTACTTCGTTGGACTAAGAATTCTGTCATTGTTCTTTATGCTTTATCTCTGAAAGTTATTTTGCCAGCGTTGGTAGAGTATAATCTATTTAAAACACATTCAGCTGCTTTTTTTTCTTTCACAGAGGTCATATTGTGTTAATCCCAGAGTTCAGCCTGCCTTTGGAGTACTATCTAATCCCTTTCCTAATTATTGTGGGGATCTGTCTCATCCTTATAGTCATTTTTATGGTAAGTATAACCTTATCTCATACTTCTCCTTCAACAAGGTAATTATGTAAAAGTTTGTGAGCATGTGGACTTAGTATATGTGTGTCAGAGAAAATAACTACTTGGTGTTGTATTGTTAATACTAATTTTGCCTTGTGATTCATTGTTAGGATTTTTTTTAAACGTTGTGGCAGGATGTCATTCTGCACTCAAAGTCTTAAAATATATTTTGAGAAATGGGGTGGGGGGGAAGCTTCTTTGATACTGTCAGCTCAGTCAAGAGCCAAATATATGTACCAGTTCAATGAAACCATGAATGGGTATTTGTCTTCATATATTAATGGAGAGAGATAAAGCACATATACAGACATTCAACTTAATCAACATAGCAAGGCTTCACAGTATATCCACAATACAGTGGTGCCTCACTTAACGACGATAATCCGTTCCAGGAAAATCGCCGTTAAGCGAAAACATTGTAAAGCCAAAAACAAACTCCATTGAAACACACTGAAACTCCTTCAGTGTGTTCCAATGGGGTCAAAACTCACCGTCCAGCAAAGATCCTTCATAGGTCAGCCGTTTTTGCTGCCTGACCTGCGAGGAATCCGTCCCAGAAAACAGTGGGGAGCCATTTTGAAACCGCCGATCAGCTGGAGGAAAATTGTCATTTTGCAGAGAATCGGTTTCCGAATCAGGGAACTGATCATCGCAAAGCGAAAAAACCCATTCAGACCATTGTTTTGCGATCGCAAAAAGATAGTCGTAATGCAGTTTCATCGTAATGCGGGGCAATCGTAAAGCGAGGCACCACTGTATATCTTCCACAGACTACCTGAAGTTTCTGCTGTCGGGAGACAACCAATAAATAACACAGTTGGTGTCTAAGTTTTTATTCTCAGTTTTAAGAATTCGTAAAATATTATACTAAGACAACCACCTGACTCAAGTTTTATACTGTTGATATATTCTAACAACTTATCTATTCCGTATATCTTCTATTATGTTTTTATCTTTGAATTTTCGGGTCTATAACTGTATAATAAAACTTAACTAGCATTATTCATTTGTTAATTCCATCTCTGGCATTTGTCACCTTCTGTATCTTATTCACTAAGTGTTTACACCCATAACCATATACAATGTGTATATAATTCTGTGGCTTCAATATTGTACAGTGGTGCCTCGCTTAGCGATCGCTCCATTTAGCGATAAAATCACTTAGCGATGCTGTTTTTGCGATCACAAAAGCGATTGTTTTGCGATGTTCTCTATGGGGAAATTTCGTTTTGCGATGATCGCAGGGAAGCGATCATCGCAAAGCCCCCCTTTTCGCACAGCTGATCAGCGGTTTCAAAATGGCCACCGGGAAAAAAACATGGCTGCCCGCTGTGTTTAGGGACGGATTTCTCGCTTTAGAGGCACCGAAAATGGCGGTGCTATGGAGGATCTTCGCTCAACGGTGAGTTTTAAGCCCATAGGAACGCATTGAAGGGGTTTCAGTGCGTTTCTATGGGCTTTTTAATATCGCATAGCGACGTTTTCGTTCTGCAGTGATTTTTGTGGAATGAATTAATGTCGCTAAGCAAGGCACCACTGTATTTCATTTGTCTGAACCAAGTGGATTGAACTTCACAAATGTCCACACTGTGATAAATCTTTTAGTCTTAAAGGTACCATAAGACCTGTTGTTGCTGTTGTTGTTAATTCATAATGAAGCAGACTAAACAAAAGCCTCTATGGAATTAATGTACAACTAGAGGACTGTAGTACTTCAAAATGCATTTAGGGAATCTGAAGACATGCTACAGAAGTTTGAGTGTATTTAATTTTTTCTTGGTAATGGTTATTTAAATATTTTCTTGAAGAGAATAATCCATGTATTTTTTTAAAAAAGACATTTCCATGTAAAGAAAGCTTAAGGTTCTGTACTCCAAGATTAATTATAGAAATTGATACAATTGTTTCTCAGGCATGATTTATTCTGAGCTTTAATGAATTTGAGAGAGGAAAAATTACACAAAAATCACAGAAGATGAGAGATAGAAAGGTGATAGGCTATGTGGGTGCATAGGTGAAAATAGTAGAGGCCATGATTAGAGACATATAGTCATACAAGGTAGTCTGTTCTTTTCAAAATGGAGAACCTTTTGCAGACATTGGCTGTGTATTTTCAGGCACCTCTCTTAGAAGAAAACTGAGAATCTAAGAATGCTGAAACCTTCTTCAGACTTGCAGGTTCTGAAAATGATAAACAAAGACAGGCAGCATAAAGACATTTTCCAGACACCCATCCAGGTCCCATGGAAGAGCCAAGATTTGCTCACTCCTCTTCCAAGCATGTTCTATCCTTTCCTTTCCTTTCGTCTTCCTTCTTCTACAGTGGACCCTTGACTTACAGATGGCTTGACTTACAGACTTTTTGAGTTACAGACTTCTCTGGCTGCAAAATTTAGGTTTGACTTGCAGACTGAGATTTGACTTACAGACCAGAAAAAAACCAAAATGGAACAAAAACG